TTTCGGTGGCTACCATATTTATTAACCGTTTTATTGATAGCTACTATTTGATTGACTGGTTTCACAATTATTACGAGGAACAAATAACGTTTCCCGTTTGTTGGAAACGTGTATTGCTATTGAAAATTCGATTACCTAACTGAGTGAATGGGGTTGGTGACTAAAATCCTGTGAAAAATATTTTTCTATGCCAATGTAAAGAGCAAGTGTCGTTCGTTTTTCCCTCATATTGACGATTAAATTAGACGTTTTAATCAAAGACGTTAAAAGTATTTAATTTTATCACCGTACTTGTGTAATATGTGGTGCTTGTATAAACTAATGATTCTTTTGTACTTGATGACCGCCTGGTTTTGAATTCTAAACACGATACATTCGTTTGTGCTCACCCAGTTATTTGTGGCTTGGATTGCGTTGTTTCGGAAATTACCAGCTCGTACAATAATTCAAATACTACCAATCATCACATAATCTCTGCGTTTAATATTTTGAACGTAGAATTGTGCTGCACATGTACAAAGCCAGCTTCTAGGCTAAATAGGATGCACAGAATGATCATCAAGCAAGAAACTTTAAAGACAAATTCCTATATTTCATTTCTCACAAATTTCTTTGCGAAATCAAGTGAACAGTCAATTCATAGTTAAGCCATAGGGAGAATCGGCTGGATTATATATACATATATGCAAATATATACAGTTTTTGAATTTAACTCGAAACTCACACAATTCTGGAAATGGCTCAAAATTTCTTTGTCTCATAGGTCGTAATTGCATGAACAAGATTAGTCGGAAATTATCTACAATAAACTGATACATTATAGTTGTGCGTGTTAATGTTCCTCTTTATAACTGAAGAGGATAATAGTACCTGCCCTTTTTTTCCATACTCACCCTGACAAACTTGAATTCTGCTCCAGAGAGTAAAATGTTACTTAATATTGTGATGTAATTGCGTAAATAATAAAGATGCTACTGAAACAATATGCTTAAACAGTGTAACTGATATGTTCCTTTTAATGTATTTCATGTCTCCCAATATTTATTAACTAGTTTTCATTTTCAATTTCACATCTTAAAACTACACAGAATATTCTTGAAATCCATGAGCATACGGAGTATAAAGTGTAAAGTATAAGGAAAGCAGTCAAAGGTAGGAGCAGTCAACCCGTGAATATCGCTATAGACTTCGGGAGACTAGCGAAATTACTAATGCTGTCTGCGTATATAAAGAAAATTACGCCTACATGAGTATTCCAAATGACAGATTAGTAAGTTAATAGCTAAACAAGCCACAAGTATTCGGAGTTTGACACCACTCTAACCAGCAACACCTTTTATAGTCGAAATATGCCAACCCAGTGAAATCAGAAGTCAGAAGCGAATAGTTTCGTAAATATATTTGATAGGCTATCGATTTATCGAGAAGTGACTAATCTAAGCTGGCTAACAGTTGTAGGAGAGGCAAAACAAAGAGCATCCAATCGTGACCTGGTGTGGATGAGTTACCGAGTGCCTTCAGCTACGTGAGTTCACTAAAACTAATGCGATCAGCATCAAATGTCGATGATTTACACAGCTATTTATTTTGGGGATTTATTTACCGCTACAAAGTTATCGAGTCGTTAGTAACATGAACTGAATTACTTCCAAGATGGAAAAATTGTTCCTGTTGTAGAATACCACTGTGGTTGATTTTTGTCGATGGTTGGGCCTTCATAACCAAAGGATCTCAAATCCAGTCATACCAGAAGTCAGGAATGAAGAAATTCGAAGTTATATTTGAATAGCAGTCGGTGTTTCGAAAAGTGAGTGAACTATGCTAGCTAGTTGTCGCGAGGATTCGACTTACGATGTACCCAATCACCATCCATTATGGATGTGTGGTCGAACGCCTTCAGCTAGTGTGTCCAGGTAAGTTAACGAAGTCAGCTTCAATGTCGAAGACTTACTGAGCTATTTATCTCTTGAATTTATTTACTGTTAAAGTACAGGCGAAATTCGTGTTTTTGAAACTCTTCACAGCATGCGACAGTGAATACTTTTCTGTTGATTCTTTTAACAACACACTGCAGCAGGCACTGACAAGAGAGCACTCATTGACTACTTCTCTAATCATTATCTAATGCTATCGTCCTTCTTTTTTTCATTCCAAGTGTAGTTGTGCTGCGTTTATCTGTGGAGTTCGTAATCGGTTGGTGGGTATAAGTAGAGTGGGTGATTAGCCCGATCTCCACCACACGGGTTACCGCTCACGTTAGTTCATGAGACATTCGTCCCACTATCCAGGAGGCACGACGCGGACGTGTAAGTCGGATTATAAGAATTATAAATCTCCTTAAGCAAGAATGCTCATTCTTTCCTGGACGCAACTCAGAAAAAGCGAATCCTCCGCTAACCTTGTCTAGCAAATTTGACATTATCGGCCGTACAATTCAATATTGACGATACACAAGGTCATGACCTCAAGTTGTTGAGGTATATGCCCAAAAGCTAGTGTTTTGCCTTTTGATTCAAAACAAAGTACATCAAAAACGTAGACAATGTTCGACAACGAAAAGATTTTTGATGAAAAAAGTGATGTGACTATAATTGACAAAGTTTCGATAATAAACTTGATGCAACAGGCTGCGAAAATATGAATCTCAGATTTTGTTGATAAAGTTTATGCTAAACTGCAGGTTAATTTAAATTGATCTAGTGTGACTTCGGATTTCGTCTAATAATAATGCAATTTAAGGAGGGTTCACTTCAGTGCCGTGCAAAGGTTTTTGCTCTATGTACATACTAACTGACAGTGTGGAGGTCAGGAAATCAACTTAGATTATAATTTTCATAACTGTGTACCGGTAGCATAACGTCAGTGGTGTTAATTCGTGACTGATTGATGCGAATAGTAATGAATCGCACTAAAGGAACAACAATGATTATTACTATTAATGGTAATAATCATTTACTTAAATGGCTCAGTTATCACGGATCACAGTACATGCATGTGGGAGACTACATGAATCTGACTGCAAAGTAAATGCTCGCAAAAATTAGCCATTCGGAACGCAAACACATCTTTTTCGATTTTCAATGGCACGTGCCCTACAAATATTAGTATATTTTTTCTCAAAACAGTGTTTTAAAATGGTATTTGGTTTGTAGCCAGATTACTAGCGTTTCTTGTTAGAGGTCGTTGGTTTATCTTACCTATTTTATTTCGTAACGGGATTCGATTTCATACTCATGCTCAGCTACACAAGATTCACACTGAGAATCTTAACACATCCACACCCCACCTGCCTGCGAAATCCAATTATACAGTTCATCTAGCAACTGTTTAATAATACTTCACAGGCTCCTCCAAATTGCTTTCGTACAATCTCGTTTAGATTTGGAACAATGAAGTTATTTATTTGTCCCATTATTCAGAAGTTATAATTGTAATCGCGTAAAGTGCTACATCGCCTCCCTCTTCATGTTGTGTCTAAATGATTACCGTTTGTCGTCGATACGTGTTTACACAGTAATTTACTATTCCCAATCCTTCATTTAAGGTATTTGGAAGTGAGCATATTGTCCCAGCAATCAAGCAGAGATTACTGTGTTTGTGGCATGCTAGGCTATGTACTTTTTGTTTGATCACATGCTTGTCATATTTTGAGGACAGCGTTATTAGTGATCTTCGTTTATTCCTGTCTGTAATAAATATTAGTGGATTGTTTGCACTTTCTGGGTCGTCAATTCACTTTTTATTTTTTGTTTAGCCCTCACGCTTCTCTGGCACCCTAGTACGTAACGCACCTTCTGGCTAGACGAAAACCGCTACACGTTGCAGACTGTTTAAAGTCTCTTGCATCTACAGGTAGTTCTGCTAACTATGTTTAAATGAAAACACAATTGTCACAAAAGCTTTTAACTCCCATTTTTCGTGGGTTAGTCCAAGTTTCGGTAACATTTTTTAATTAAACGCAACAACACACTTCGCTATTATATAAGGATACCAGTAAAGTTATAACGATGATCAACCAGTCAGATGTAAATGAAACACCCGAAAGATAAATTCTATGGCTAAATGATTGACCCTTTCCGCGTGATGTAGACTGGCAATATTAATTATTTTTTCCATTAATTCAAAACGTATACTAGTAAGGCTAACAAAACAGATATTATTCACCAAGTATCTGTACCTTGTTTCGCATACCAGATTATTGAAGGTGTTCTTCAAACCTATTGAGTGTTTCGACTGCTTCGGTAATGTACTGAGTAACACTTCTAGAGTCCTCGCACTGATATCAACTTTAGCTTCTGTACTACAAGGTGAGTATTTTCTGTGTCACTGGTCAAACGTATATACATACATGTCTTAAAAGCATTACTACTTTTCAAAATTAATTCATTTCCGTCTCAACTTGTCATGGTTTGCTTACTGTGATGTTGATTAAGTAGTAGTAAAGACAAGGTTCTTATTGAACGTTGAACCACTGTCTGCACTGTGCTTTAGCAGCATCAGTACGTTACCCACCCATATTGCCTTCTCAAAAACAAAGCTTAATCTAAAAGATAACCCATAAACCCTTAGCCACGTGATTCCTCTGCCAGCAATCGTCTTCTTAGAAGTATACCAGTTTATACCACATTAAAGTTAAATATTTCAAAAAATGTTCTGTACGACTGATCTCCAGTAGTCACTGTAGTTTATGTTCACATTCCCAAATAGATAGAATCTTCATTAATGCGTTTCCTTAAGGGAAGATTACCGCCGAAATCATGAAAGGTTTTGTCTTACAAGGATCCATGACAGCTAAGTTCATTCACTATTAATATCTCGTCAATTATTTAAAAATTTTCTATTCTACTTATCATGTGCTTTTTGTTTCTTCATTTATAGAACATCGTCTCACCACAACCGTCAAGCGTATGTAGCGTAGGTGTAAGGGGTAAACCGGACCATAATAACTAGTTAAATGAAGCAGTACGAAAGGCAACTGTAGTGTTCTTTATTTGGCGTAAATGGGTCAGTCTTTATGTGCTCCTGTTCTATCCAAGGAAACGAAGAGCTGGCAGAATGAAAATTATAGTGTTGCAGTATCCAGCATGCAAGGATGGCGTGTACATATGGAAGACGCTCATATGTGTTTACTAGAGCTTCCTGGTGATCCAAAGGCTGCCTATTTCTCAGTTTTTGATGGACATGGAGGTACAAGAGTGGCAAATCATGCAAGTCGTCATCTTCACGAGAAAATTCTTGAACAAATTGAATATAGTAAGTCTTCTTTCTCATATGGATCGATTGTAGAAAAGGCATGCTAATTAGGAAAGTATTTGATGCGCCTATTTTTCTTTCTTTGATTTGATACTCGTTGAAATGTGTAATTTGCTCATCTGTAGCAATTGTCAGGTTCAATTTATGATAGTTAATAGCTTGAATTAGTCTACATATATTGTAGTGACCTCACATGAATAATAGTTGTCATACTTTCTGAAAGAAAAGTATATTGATGAATACCGTATACATATAGCAAAAATGTTGGTAATTAGGACTACATGTGACCTTTTGAAGGCTGATGTCAATTTAAAGTGAGGGTCAGGTAAACTTTTAATTAATTTTCGTAACATTGGCTTCTGAACCTTCAATAGGTCTTCGCTCTGATTTGTGTTTTGTGGCAGTCACTCAGTTTATGAATTCTGATCGTTTTAACCGATATATAACCGGTTACCTAAACTGACTTTTTAATTATACTGAGGTTATAATCAGAAAAGCTTCCATTACGAAGCTGAACTTCTCACTGTTTTTGAGGCGGCAAATAAGAAGAGAATAGAAGTCGTCTTGTTCGTTTTATTGACGTCAAAGTTGCGAAATATTAGAATAGCATACGAGTGCATCACGTATAAGACCTTAAGGGTAATGCATACCTAAGTTGAACGGATAGAAAGCTATTTCGATCACAGGCAAAGTTTGAATAAATCTCTACTTGATGTAGGTGCACGCAGTTAGGCTTTGTGGTTCGGTTATTCTCTCAAACCGTATCCGTAGTTTTTCAACCATTCATTATATCCATCTTAAAATCTGCCTGAAAAAGCGAGGTCTATAAAAGTCAAGGCTAGGACTTAATCTGGTGTTATTTCCTCTTGTCACAAACGGTTGGCATCAGTACACGTATTTTTCACGTTGAAATTCCTGGCTTAATAGCTGTTTTATATATGTGAAGCCAAAGCAATGTTAATTTTATCTCATAACAGTTTTGTTGATATCTTGATTTTCTTTCTCAACACTTGAACCATAGGATGTATACCTATTAGGTTTTATGGGTGTGTTATAATTCTCTCATATTACAAATCATCTATTCTTATTTCATAGTATTCTTGGACACCAATTCACTCGACAAGTCCTCAAATCAGAAGGCGCTTGAACAGATAGGGAATTATATTCCAAATAACAAGGGTAGATCGAAGTAAGAAGCACAATACGAAAAACGTTAGCATATTTATAGTTTTTACAGGGGAATATTCTAGAATGTTCTCCAAGCATCGGATAGCGCTGATTGGATAAGAACTAAGCAACCAGAGAGCACCAACGCAATCGTGCATGGAGCATGATTTAATCCAGTCTCTGTCTCGCTAACAGGGTGTTTCAGTTAACTTGAGATTTTTGCTTATATGTTTGTATATAATAATATCTATGTCGTTCCTCATTATCTGTCTAAACACCAATTCAGTATTAGACACGTCGGTAGCCATTTTAGCTATTAAAGTTACCCCCTGTGAATATCTAGTACTTATCTGTAACGTTTTGGATTCATTCATCCTGATAATAATATTATAAATGTCACTGGAATATACAATAGTTATAAAACTCATCTATTTCTTCCTAAAATGGCTACATGTAACACTTTGTGGTTGCAACGTATGATGATAAACAAAATCTTAGCCTGCCACAATCTCCGTCAATATTGTTCTCTACGACATCGTGGTATGAAAGAAAGCTGCAAAGGGCTGGCCTCTGTTGGTCCTTCACTACTCCTTGACTGGGGTCCGAGAGATGGTGCGACGTTATCAGATATGGCTCAGAATAGAAGTCAATGGCGATCCTGCTGTAACCTTCTTTTACTTTCTTCGTAAAAAGTGGTTGTGTCTTCCTTAACTGAAAGATTTCTTTTGGTTGTACTTTTCCGTTTTCCCCATTATTATTATTACACTACCTCACACTAATCTGGTCGTTATTGTTCTTCTTTTTTTCTTTTACGCTCCTTACATTCTTTTTCTCTTGTCATTCTCATTGTTTTGTGTGGCGCATATATATTTGGTGCCCTCTTGTACTAATATTTATGTGTTCAAATAAATAAATAAATAAAACCAACTACGACATCCCCAGTATCATTCGAGTGACCTGGATTAGGGTTAGAAACTAAGCTGGTCATTGCATTAACCGATTGACTAACTCATGTATGTTTATGGGATTACTATGCAATTTTCCACTAGTCCTATTAAGCTGTGAGATTAGGTGGATGTTATCCCACCACAAATTGAGCGAACGATGATTTCGGACTTTTCCCATTTGTAGAACTACAATGAAACATCCTAATTTAAAGAACCGAACGATTGATTTACTGTTGGATAATAAGGTAGTACAAAGCTATGAAGCAGTTCTCACTAACTTATACTTCTAAGTAAAATACTTTTTGTTTTTTCCTTATTACATAAATGGAAGCGAATATGTGGAAATCAAACAATAATTTGGTCACCAGATATTACTATATCCTTAAAAGGATCTCGATACATAACCAACCGTTAACTTGTCCTTTTTAGGTCGGAACGACATAAAAGAGGCTATTCGTCATGCCTTTCTTTCTATGGATGCTGAGATGCAATCTGAAATGACCACATATTCTGTTAAATCATCGGCACCGAAATTAGACAGCTCAGTTAATTTAACAGCTCCTGGTTCAGTTGTAGCAGTGAAAGATAGTACTGTTGAAACCCACAATGAAAGTACAACAAGCTTCTCTTTGAAAATTCCAAATCCAGGTGATGAATTGGCTGGATCCACTGGAATAATAGTCCTACTGAAAGATCAAATGCTTTACTGTGGAAATGCTGGAGACAGCCGTGCAGTATGTAGCAGACGTGGAGTCGCAGAACCTTTGTCTACAGATCACAAACCAACTCTACGTGCTGAGAAAGAACGTATTTCTGCTGCTGGTGGTTGGGTCGATGCAAAACGTGTGAATGGGAACCTTGCACTATCACGAGCTTTCGGGGATTTTGTCTTCAAGCGTAATCCACACCAGTCTGCCGAAAACCAAATCGTAACTGCAAATCCGGACGTTTTTGTTCGACGACTTTCAGTCGAAGATGATGAATTTATTGTACTGTGTTGCGATGGTATATGGGATGTAATGACAAATCAGGAAGTTGTAAGCTTTATTCGTCTGCGACTCAGTTATGGTATGCTTCCATCTAAAGTAAGATCTTACATAGTAATACATTTTTTAATTAAAGCACCATATCGACATAAGAATTCGTTTTCGGAATTTCTCAAAAAGTGCTGTAGAATTAAGATCTATATGTTCCAGACTCTTTAAAAGTGTCTTTTTAGATCAATAAGCAGAAGCAGTTTAGTGATTATCCTCCCTCTATAATGAATTGATACAAAATATCTAGTTTCCGTGTCATAAAAAAACTGCTGTATTTCAAACAGTATATGAAAATATGGTTCATTATCACTGAGTGTTCTGAAAAGTACAGCCATTTAATACACCAAATTTTATCTGCACTGATTACAGTGACAATACATTTAATTTTGAAAGAACTGCCAGTATTAATCAATGCACTGTTAAATGCCAGTATTCTACAGCTTTGAAGTATTTCCTACTTTTAATGGATGTACTACCAAAACGCATATTTTTGTAGAAATAGAAATGTTGTAAGCGGTATAAATTCAATTGATATGTGGTAGTGAAAGTAAAGTATGATTGATTGTTGAGCGTGAATAAACAGCAATAGCCTACGGACTATTAAATATGTGATTTTCCTTCTTATCTTTGATCTCTACTCTGGACACACTGTATGTGAATGTTTGTAATTGTATTGCATAAAGTATTCTCTAGTGTTAACCTAGTTCTCTTTTGGATCGCGAATACTGGTTCTGAAATAACGTGATTAGTCTTATTAACGTATTATCTTAATGTACATGTAGAGGGGAAAAATGTTGTAAACAATCAGTTATATCACAAAAAAGTGAAAAATACGAAGTCATACTGTTATAATTTCTGCTGTAGAAATTAATTACGATACAATGAATAGTGCGAGCGAGTGTATATATGCGTATTGTTAACTATTAGAAATTAGAGGGTCTGAACTGATTGTTCATTCTATGCCTGATTACTCTGAGAATTAATGTGCTTTTGGGATACTGGTAAATATAGCCATTTTAACCAGATATCTCGAAAAGTATAAGACCTCTTGTTTGTGTTCATACTAAACCACCTATTTTATTGTTCTTAGGTATGTGAAGAACTTATGATGCGATGTCTAGCACCTGACTGTCATACAAATGGTTTGGGCTGCGATAACATGACTGTCGTTTTGGTCTGTCTCTTACAAGGACGCCCGTTCTCGGATTTGCAACGCAAGTGTTCTCGATCGTGTCCAGCCGGTCCAGCAGCCGATATTTTAGGTCCATGAAGCTATGGGAATTTATCGCCGTGAATTTCCTTTGTAGTCCCAGCTGAGAGCGTCGCCTTGCCACTTATTTTGATCTAATATTTACAATAATTTTTTTACCTCCTATGTAGTCTTGCATTTTGTTTCTAAGAACTGTAACCTCACTGCATGTAATTATTTTAAAAATTCGGTTAATTCTTGAATGACACTAAAAGTTGTGAGGATTTACCATGCTTGTTGGGCGTTATGCATTAATCTTGTTGGTAGATAGATGTGTTATATAACTTATCAAATTGAATGGAAGTTTGCTTATCTATCATATTGAATAACATTGCAATTAACTATTTAACTTGACTTTTCAAGGATTTCCGACTGATAATCCATCGTACAATTTTAACGTACAAATCTGCATTACTGCGGAACATAAGACCAAGCTCTAGATACCAAATTGTGTTACCAATAACTATCAGTTTTTCATGTTGGTAGGTGCAGTCCAGGGCAGTATTTTAACGAGTATACAAGTATGAATTATTTTTATTTAAACACATAAATATTAGTACAAGAGGGCACCAAATATATATGCGCCACACAAAACAATGAGAATGACAAGAGAAAAAGAATGTAAGGAGCGTAAAAGAAAAAAAGAAGAACAATAACGACCAGATTAGTGTGAGGTAGTGTAATAATAATAATGGGGAAAACGGAAAAGTACAACCAAAAGAAATCTTTCAGTTAAGGAAGACACAACCACTTTTTACGAAGAAAGTAAAAGAAGGTTACAGCAGGATCGCCATTGACTTCTATTCTGAGCCATATCTGATAACGTCGCACCATCTCTCGGACCCCAGTCAGGGAGTCGTGAAGGACCAACGAAACTCAGCCCAGTTTCCTTGCATACCACGCCACCATGTCATGCACTGACTACCTCTCCGCTTTTTCCAACCAGTCCTAGCGTCGGCAAGTAATGCAGGACGTGGAATTCACTGGGATACTTTCGTAAAGCATGTCCAAGCCACCGAAGTCGATGTTTCAAGATGGTGACACCAGCTGGATTACCGTCTCTGCGCCCGAATACGATGCCGAACCTCTGCATTACTAACATGGTGTTACCACTGGATATCAGCAATCCTTCGGAGACGACAATGATTAGACACAGAGTATTCTAACATCCTCAACTCGGAGAGGCTAGGCTTCACAAGCATAGAGCAGAACTGCTCTCACCGACGCGTTGTAGATTCGATCTTTCACAGCCAGACTAAAATCACGAAGGCGTCAAGAATGGCCCAGATTGCATAAGACGCTCTGGCTTTCACTATACGTGCATTGATCTCCTCACTCACACCCCCACCAGCACTTATGCAGCTACCCAGATACACGAACTTCTCAACTACTTCTATCTGCTCACCATCCAGGGTGAGTACAGGATTAGAATCCTGCGTCTCATAGAAGTACTTTGCACTTCCAAGGTGCAAACCACATACCATACCTGCGGACACTGATTGCCAACTGATTAAGTGCGGATTGCATGGATTGGGCATTATCGCACAGTAAGAAAATACCATCCCCATACTCAAGGTCGAGAATTCTTTCTCCAGGCAACAGATCCACACCACCATTACTTACATTCATCAGAGCTGTTTCTAGAATGTCATCGATGGCAAAGTTGAGGAGGATTGATGAGATTGGGCAACCCAGTCTCACCTCACTGCTCGAATGGAACAATGGACAGAGGTGGATGTATGCCCTCACTCTACCCGAGATGCTTGTATATAGGGTCTTTAGGAAGTTAATAAACTTCTCAGGCACACCCTTCTTCGATAGACAATCCTAGAGAACAGTCCTGTCCAGCAAATCGAAGGCAGCCCTAATGTCAAGAAACACTACGATTGTTGGCCTGTGATAAGTATGATGTTCTGACCAAAACATCCTCGACCAGAACGAAAACCAGCCTGCTCCTGGCGAGTCAATTTTTCTCGGGTTTTGAACAACCTACAAAGTATGACAGAAGACGCCCGACCTGAGCATTCAAGTCTCCGGCTAGTACTACAATATCTGTCGAACCCACTTTCTGGAGAAGAACAGTTAACTGGTGGTAGAATTCATCCTTAATTGCATCCGGCATGCAATCTGTCGGGACATAGGCGGAGATGACGAAAAGACATTGTTTCTCACGCCGATTTCTTTCCACTTTGATGGAACTTTCTAATCTAACATCACATAACCGACTGTTAATGGGGATCCAATCGATTAGTGCTGCCTCAGCTCTGGCGCTTAGTGCGACACCAACGTCAGCAAGACCAGATGAAGATGCCACAGGGTCCCCCGATAAACGCACGTAAAACAAGCCTCTCAAAGTGACACATGGAGAGCGAACTTGTCGTACATCACCAGAGTCTTGAATACGGGTCTCGGATAGACAATAAACGTCGATATTAAGACTTTCCAAAGACAGACAGCCCTGTCTGTTGTCCGACCTGCATTCAAGTTCGAACGTTGAAGGCAGCTAGTTTGAATAGTGCGCGTGGTTTCAGAAAAACTGCTTCAGTATTCGTATTTGGTGGTAGCATACAATTTTCAACCAGGCAGTGACTCGAGAACGTTTAGATAGAACCGAGTTTCCACCATAAGCGAGCTACTGTATAAGTCGAAAAATAAGGATACATAAAGTGGGAATAAAAGAGAGTGAATAAATGACGTAGTAAATAATAATAACAACAATGTCGATCGTCTGACCGCTAATGGAAGCAATCATAGTATTATCCGTAAGTATTGTGTGTGGGCTGTGATATCTCCCGGGTGCCCAAACCGAAGCAGCTGGTTTTCTTAAGGGGCCCCACCCCGAGCCTTCGACCCACAAGGCGGTGGGGCGACGTCAGGAGATGCAGTCCCATGGAAGCCGGTGACCAACAATTGGTTCATACTCTATTTGTTAGGATATTGGAGCCCATGTGCACCATTGGTTTTGAATCAAGGTTTCCCAACTCCTCTACGTGGATTCACCATGTCCACCAACCCGGTTAAAGAGCTGGATATTCGCTTTTCGTCCTCTTAATTTCGTAAACAACACCCCCGCCACGAGAAGGCAGTGAGTAGGACTTCCCTGGCAGATGTTGCATACGCGTGGTCGTGCGAGATCACTTCGAAAGGGAGTGCGGGCCCTCTCCGCCGTACCAGGGCATTTGGGGGTATACTAGTATGAGTAGAACACAGAACGTATTTGGCTGAGTGGGATCGCTTTACAGAACATTTTAACAGCCTTAAGTAACAGCACGTGTAGTTGGTACAAACTTCAACCTTAACCAACTTCTCTATTTTGGGGAAGCCACTGTAGAAGGTTTAGGGAAATGGCACAAATTCCCAGATTTGGGGAAAACCTCAAAGTAGGGAGATTGGGTATGTTCGAACTACTTCATGTCGTTTAATTTTAGGATCATCGGCTTTCTATTCTGAACGGTGTCTCACTCTGAATAATAGATAAAGTATATTTAGTGTATAAAATGTGCTTATTTGTTCACATAAATACAAATAGTCTATAACAACTGAGACCTAAAGCATACTTTTAGTAAGATCATAAATAAGATTAAATTCCATAGTAACCACTTGATAAAAATAAAGGTGCTTCAATCTTTTATGACCAAAATCTCAGATTGTATACAAATGAGAGCCAGAGATTAGAAAAGCTATGCTTTTAGTGTCTTGACTTAACAGAGTTAGGTTGTGTGTAAATCCCAAGTTCATGAAAACTGATTTCGGCAACCAAACTACTTGTATGCGAAGAGCAGTCTGAGATATTGCCCTAGATGAATTCATTGTTGGAATTCGGAGATAAAATTTCAAAATCTGTAGTATATAAGCTGTGACTAGGCAAAAGATCAAAATAAGTAATGAATTGTCAGGACTGGTACTAAAGAAACCCCAAATGCCCTGGTACGGCCGAGAGTGGGGAGAGTCAGCTCTCCCTCTCGAAATGCTCTCACATGACCACGTGTGTACAGCCACTCACAAGGAAGTCCTACACACACAATTCTCTTCACGGTGTTGTTTACGAAATTGAAAGAACGAAAAGCGAATGTTTGGTGCTTCAACCGGGTTGGTGGATAGGGAGGGTCCATCTAGAGGAGTTGGAAAACCCTTATTCCAAACCAATGGTGCAAAAGGGCTCCAGTATCCTGAGGGAACAAATGGCGTATCAACCTATTATTGGTCACCGGCTACCATGGGAGTGCATCTCCTGACGTTGCTCCAGTGCCTTGTGGATCAGACCTTCAGGTCGAAGGCTCGGGGAGTAGCCTCCTAAGAAAACCACCTGCTTCGGTTTGGGAACCCGGGCAGTACCACAGCCCTCATGAGATTTGTGTGGTGCATATGTATTTGGTGCCTCCTTGTACCAATATCTATGTGTTAAAATAAATAGTGATAAACTACAAAACTCAGTTACCATATTAGGATTCGTGCACTCAGCCCTGAATCCCAATTTTGGCGTGGTAGTAATGCTACCCGGTTATTGAAACTAGAGATGTGCTGTAATCAATAAACTACTACACAAACAAGCACTGAAATACGTAAAAAAAGCTTAGTGCACTTCTAATAAATATGTGATTATCTGTTAAGTAACAGTCAACATATTTCTTATAAGCTGGGTATTATGACTTTCGTACGATGAAATATAAAAACATAAGTAAACAGAAAACATTTACTAAAGAATAAATTGAATTAATTTAATACATATCTGGAAGTACACACGGGTGCTAAATCACAATTAAGAATCGAAATCTATACACTAAAGCTCTCTCCGCACCCACATGTGCCTTTAATATTAGGGTTATTAAAAACAAATTGACTTGATAGTACGTCCTGCTGATAGTCCATTTCAGTACCTAGTAACGTCAGCTGAGCTCGCCGATCAATGAAAATGCGGACATTATCTTGTTCTACAACTTCATCTCCCGGTTGGCGTCCTTCAAAACAAAAGTCCAAAGTATATGACAAGCCATTACATCCACGGGTCCTAACTCCAATGCGTAATCCTGTGGCTTCTGGATTCATTTGCAAGAGCTGCAGAGCTCGAGCTACAGCTGACTTTGTAAGAATCAGTGGTGCATGTTTACCAACAAAGGATGACGGTTTTGACTGCGCAGTTGTCTTTACGGAATTTGAAATCGATCCGGGTCTGGTTGAAAATCGATACACTGTAGATTTCGCAACCAAACTATCCTCTATTAAGCAGTGCAAGATTTTTGATCTGGTTGTGACCAACTTAAGGCATTTAACCGAGTTCATTGAAGCATGAAGCGTTATACCGACATCTGAAATGACAAAAACTGTATTTAGAAAATTACCAATTTACCAACATACAACGTAACGTGTATGCTAAATTCAAAATGCTACTACCAACATACATTTCAACGCAGGTAGCTTGTGCATAATTATCTCTGTGCATTTATGATAGCACTAGACATATTAATGTCAACAGCCAGAGCTGCATTCAATTTTTCATAACTCTAAAGACCACTAAGAACATATATATATATATATATATATATATATATATATCACAACCTAAAGAATAATAGATGAAGAGTATTTTAAACGAGTAATACTTCGGTCCTCATTAGTTAGTTCATCGTATCCACTAAAATTAAATAAATTGCATTCAGCTTGATTCCTGGGACAATATGCTCACTTCCAAATACCTTAAATGAAGGATTGTGAGTAGTAAATTACTGTGTAAACACGTATCGACGACAAACGGTAATCATTTAGACACAACATGAAGAGGGAGGCGATGTAGCACTTTACGCGATTACAATTATAACTTCTGAATAATGGGACAAATAAATAACTTCATTGTTCCAAATCTAAACGAGATTGTACGAAAGCAATTTGGAGGAGCCTGTGAAGTATTATTAAACAGTTGCTAGATGAACTGTATAATTGGATTTCGCAGGCAGGTGGGGTGTGGATGTGTTAAGATTCTCAGTGTGAATCTTGTGTAGCTGAGCATGAGTATGAAATCGAATCCCGTTACGAAATAAAATAGGTAAGATAAACCAACGACCTCTAACAAGAAACGCTAGTAATCTGGCTACAAACCAAATACCATTTTAAAACACTGTTTTGAGAAAAAATATACTAATATTTGTAGGGCACGTGCCATTGAAAATCGAAAAAGATGTGTTTGCGTTCCGAATGGCTAATTTTTGCGAGCATTTACTTTGCAGTCAGATTCATGTAGTCTCCCACATGCATGTACTGTGATCCGTGATAACTGAGCCATTTAAGTAAATGATTATTACCATTAATAGTAATAATCATTGTTGTTCCTTTAGTGCGATTCATTACTATTCGCATCAATCAGTCACGAATTAACACCACTGACGTTATGCTACCGGTACACAGTTATGAAAATTATAATCTAAGTTGATTTCCTGACCTCCACACTGTCAGTTAGTATGTACATAGAGCAAAAACCTTTGCAGGGCACTGAAGTGAACCCTCCTTAAATTGCATTATTATTAGACGAAATCCGAAGTCACACTAGATCAATTTAAATTAACCTGCAGTTTAGCATAAACTTTATCAACAAAATCTGAGATTCATATTTTCGCAGCCTGTTGCATCAAGTTTATTATCGAAACTTTGTCAGTTATAGTCACATCACTTTTTTCATCAAAAATCTTTTTGTTGTCGAACATTGTCTACGTTTTTGATGTACTTTGTTTTGAATCAAAAGGCAAAACACTAGCTTTTGGGCATATACCTCAACAACTTGAGGTCATGACCTTGTGTATCGTCAATATTGAATTGTACGGCCGATAATGTCAAATTTGCTAGACAAGGTTAGCGGAGGATTCGCTTTTTCTGAGTTGCGTCCAGGAAAGAAAGAGCATTCTTGCTTAAGGAGATTTATAATTCTTATAATCCGACTTACACGTCCGCGTCGTGCCTCCTGGATAGTGGGACGAATGTCTCATGAACTAACGTGAGCGGTAACCCGTGTGGTGGAGATCGGGCTAATCACCCACTCTACTTATACCCACCAACCGATTACGAACTCCACAGATAAACGCAGCACAACTACACTTGGAATGAAAAAAAGAAGGACGATAGCATTAGATAATGATTAGAGAAGTAGTCAATGAGTGCTCTCTTGTCAGTGCCTGCTGAAGTGTGTTGTTAAAAGAATCAACAGAAAAGTATTCACTGTCGCATGCTGTGAAGAGTTTCAAAAACACGAATTTCGCCTGTACTTTAACAGTAAATAAATTCAAGAGATAAATAGCTCAGTAAGTCTTCGACATTGAAGCTGACTTCGTTAACTTACCTGGACACACTAGCTGAAGGCGTTCGACCACACATCCATAATCGATGGTGATTGGGTACATCGTAAGTCGAATCCTCGCGACAACTAGCTAGCATAGTTCACTCACTTTTCGAAACACCGACTGCTATTCAAATATAACTTCGAATTTCTTCATTCCTGACTTCTGGTATGACTGGATTTGAGATCCTTTGGTTATGAAGGCCCAACCATCGACACAAATCAACCACAGTGGTATTCTACAACAGGAACAATTTTTCCATCTTGGAAGTAATTCAGTTCATGTTACTAACGACTCGATAACTTTGTAGCGGTAAATAAATCCTCAAAATAAATAGCTGTGTAAATAATCGACATTTGATGCTGATCGCATTAGTTTTAGTGAACTCACGTAGCTGAAGGCACTCGGTAACTCATCCACACCAGGTCACGATTGGATGCTCTTTGTTTTGCCTCTCCTACAACTGTTAGCCAGCTTAGATTAGTCACTTCTCGATAAATCGATAGCCTATCAAATATATTTACGAAACTATTCGCTTCTGACTTCTGATTTCACTGGGTTGGCATATTTCGACTATAAAAGGTGTTGCTGGTTAGAGTGGTGTCAAACTCCGAATACTTGTGGCTTATTTAGCTATTAACTTACTAATCTGTCATTTGGAATACTCATGTAGGCGTAATTTTCTTTATATACGCAGACAGCATTAGTAATTTCGCTAGTCTCCCGAAGTCTATAGCGATATTCACGGGTTGACTGCTCCTACCTTTGACTGCTTTCCTTATACTTTACACTTTATACTCCGTATGCTCATGGATTTCAAGAATATTCTGTGCAGTTTTAAGACGTGAAATTGAAAATGAAAACTAGTTAATAAATATTGGGAGACATGAAATACATTAAAAGGAACATATCAGTTACACTGTTTAAGCATATTGTTTCAGTAGCATCTTTATTATTTACGCAATTACATCACAATATTAAGTAACACTTTACTCTCTGGAGCAGAATTCAAGTTTGTCAGGGTGAGTATGGAAAAAAAGGGCAGGTACTATTATCCTCTTCAGTTATAATGAGGAACATTAACACGCACAACTATAATGTATCAGTTTATTGTAGATAATTTCCGACTAATCTTGTTCATGCAATTACGACCTATGAGACAAAGAAATTTTGAGCCATTTCCAGAATTGTGTGAGTTTCGAGTTAAATTCAAAAACTGTATATATTTGCATATATGTATATATAATCCAGCCGATTCTCCCTATGGCTTAACTATGAATTGACTGTTCACTTGATTTCGCAAAGAAATTTGTGAGAAATGAAATATAGGAATTTGTCTTTAAAGTTTCTTGCTTGATGATCATTCTGTGCATCCTATTTAGCCTAGAAGCTGGCTTTGTACATGTGCAGCACAATTCTACGTTCAAAATATTAAACGCAGAGATTATGTGATGATTGGTAGTATTTGAATTATTGTACGAGCTGGTAATTTCCGAAACAACGCAATCCAAGCCACAAATAACTGGGTGAGCACAAACGAATGTATCGTGTTTAGAATTCAAAACCAGGCGGTCATCAAGTACAAAAGAATCATTAGTTTATACAAGCACCACATATCACACAAGTACGGTCATAAAATTAAATACTTTTAACGTCTTTGATTAAAACGTCTAATTTAATCGTCAATATGAGGGAAAAACGAACGACACTTGCTCTTTACATTGGCATAGAAAAATATTTTTCACAGGATTTTAGTCACCAACCCCATTCACTCAGTTAGGTAATCGAATTTCCAATAGCAATACACGTTTCCAACAAACGGGAAACGTTATTTGTTCCTCGTAATAATTGTGAAACCAGTCAATCAAATAGTAGCTATCAATAAAACGGTTAATAAATATGGTAGCCACCGAAATCCAGTGACTGAATAAGAAATAATTAAGACGGTAAGAGAAAAACCGAAAAACAAAATCACATGCAAAATTAATGATGGTAATTTTATATCAACCAAAAAAACGAAGTGAATATGTAAGGATAAAGACAACAAAAATTCCAAGTTAACACAGTGTACATATTTTATATGTAAATACCCTACTATACTCAAACATTTTTGTTCTGATGAGCAGTGGATGCGTTTGTTAATATTCTGACGATTTGTAGAATTTGATCGCTGCTACCAAGTCCAAAACACTGGAGAGTGGAAGCATATCTCTCATACAAGACAAAAAAATTCTGTTTACAATGGTACATGAGCAGCATTGTAGAAATATGTATAAATTTAGCATCCATATACTAAGATCGATAGTTCTAGTGTCTTCAGGTATTCCTTGTTGTATATGAATTTAAGAATAAAAATGATGCCGTAATTCCTCAGTGAATCCTCAGTAGATTGTAATTCATTCCTGAAAATAATCATTTATACGAGTCAGTATTGGACTTTTTACAAGTTGTGAATTTCATTTTGTTTTTATTCAAAGCCATCCTAATATGACTTTTATAAAGACGGGTACATTAAGTTCTGAACGTATTTTCAATGTAAAAGGTGCACTCTGTAAACGGAACTGTTACATCCTTGGTCTGTCTACCCAATAGTATACAAGAGAGAACTCGTCTCGATCTAGATTAAGACCTGGACGCGATAGGCTTGTAGTGACTTATTTTTATCACGAGAACGTGGTTGGCTTAATGAAAACAATTATTATTATAACCAATTGAACCAGTGCTTGGTTTAATGTGCTCTTTGTTTAACTGTGCTAACAACATCCATTATACTTACTTCGATTGTGACCTCGCGCGAATCCGGTTACGCTCAGTAACCAAGCTTGTATCCTGGCACGATCTCGGTATTCTTTCGATACCACGAGATCGCAAGCAAATATATCTCGACGTGGTCCATTAACTGCCTTCTGATATTTGGCTTCCGAGGGATTTTATGGATATCCTGGCACGCGTTCCTTTGTAGTGGTGTTCATAGTCTACCATGACTCGGCACCACGCTACAGGCTAGCTGGTTTAACCTTGAGGCTGGGAATACGTGAGTCCGAATTGAAACTAACTGCCTTGGATAGAGAGACGAAAATCTATTCTATCGCCCGATTGACTGACAAGCAAGAGAGAAAACGAGTCAACTGGAACAGTACTCGATTAACTCCTGATTCCGATTCCAAATTTCAATTCAGTTTAGTGTGAAAAGATACAGTAATAAATAAATGACTAAAATGACCACAAAGTACAAGCAATTAGAAAAACACAATTATGTCCAAACTCGGCATTAGGGTAGAAAAATAGAGTACCCAAGGTTACATTTAGGTTACAATGGCTTTTAGACAGAAAAGAAAATGGCAGTGAATTATACATCAAACCAAAGCTTATTGTCTGTAGAATAAACTAGGATTCAAACTAAGTGTTGGTGTTTTACAAGCTTTGAATTAAGTGAAATAACGTCCCCAAAATAGCTTACGTTGTTCGTCATAGCTTTTTTGTTTCTCTGTTCACATCAGAAACTCACATTATAATTGTTTTGAAATAATTTCTTCTATCTATTCAGTACTGCATACTGAACAAACTTTTATTATATTTTGACCATTAATTAAGTTCTATGATATAGTGAAGAGTCTGTTTAACTGTCACAGAACTTTACTAATTATCCTAGATCGTAGTCAATTCCTTTATGATTATATTAACAGAGTAATGTTCTATTATATATGAGGTTATAAAATAATTAATATATGAAATAAATCACTTCAGAAGATTCGTACTGAAGTCTTTTACTTCGAATAATTATGTTAAATATTCATAATTTTCATTTTCCCTAGTGTTTTCAGTTTGTATTAATATTGGGGATTTAATATCATGATGTGTTTTTTTTTTAATTTTCTCGTTGAATACTGATCATTTCCATTGAAGCAATTTTTTTATTTTTGAACATTTTAAAAGTCGTTGTTCTGACTAGTGGTAATTCACATAAAACTGTTTCATATTTTTCATTGAAGATTTATCATGGAACTTTTAATATTTTTGTTCACGTTTATCTACTATTATTCTGATGATAGAAGAAAGTTTGAGATGAGATTACTATCATTCACTGAACTAAAAGTGTTTCTTTGTGTTTTTTGGTTTGACTCTTTATATTGAAATAACATTTTGAGATCTGAAAAATTCCTATAAAATCACATTTCAGTGGTCCGAGATCTGATTCCAGTTAGATCGTATGAATGATTGTTGTTAAAATATACATCCTGGATATCCTTGTATATAATCATCGACTTAACTCGGGTTAGTGAATAACGGAATTAACAAAGTCAAATATGAGAATGGATTTCGAATACATATATTTCATTCAATCATTGATCCAAACAAACGATCGGAGAAACGAAACGAAGAAGAAAAAAGCGAAGCGAAATGATGTGCGGTGGACAAGGTATATAAATCAGTTCGATTTAACCAAATGCGAATCGATAT